GCTRCAGAAATATGTAATAGATATTTGGCAATGCGACTCAAGCATTTGTCTTGCTTTGTTCTAGCAGATGATTTGAGATTATTGATAGGACCAGCTTTGTGCAGTCTGCCTGTTGAACAGGAATCTATCAAATATTTCATTTTGCAAAGCATTGAACTTCCGTTCCGTGTGATGTTCATGCACACATCCTGATCCCTTGGACTTCATAAGCCTCTACTGAGTTGCTTCTTTGGGCATCTGGTGCCAGTTTTGTGCAGCCATTGGTTACACCAGAGCATCTCCACTGTCACCATGTGCCTGTGTCAGGAGCTGAGTTGAGCCCTGAGGAATCTGACKGACAGGTGGATGCTCTTATCTCTCTGTGCCTTGAGTTGCATTCAGAGAGGCTGTGGCTGCAGCAGTGGCACCCTCTGCAAGACTTGACCAGACTGGGTTATCCATGCGTTGGGAAATAGTTGTGGGAGGGTGGCTTTTGTACTGACTTGCTTAATATTTGCTGGCACACAAGGAGAGCTCCCGTATGGAGAAGCGTGCAGTGCTCTGTGTGGCTGGAGCCCAGACAAAGGGACACTGGGACACTGGTGGATGCTGTGAAAGGAGCATTTGCATGGTTTAACAACTGGATCAGTGCCTGGATGCACAGCCTCTGATTTGACTGAAGCAGCTGCCTTCTTCCCAGCAAAGGTTATGTTCGGCTCAGAGGCACTTAGTGTGTGTCTGAACAAGTGGACAGGATCTAGCCAAGGRAAGAGTAGGCAGGGAGCTAGGAGACTGCACATTTAATTACAGTTCTTTCTTTGTAGTACCTCCTTTGAGACTGAATTCAGAGCTGTCCACATGGTGGAGGTTTGACCATGTTAAATGAAAAGCCCCTCTGATGGCACGAGTACATCTGAATGTTGCTATGTGTTTGGGAAGATCTATATTATTTAATTCTCTGTTGTATAAATAAGAAGTCAAGATTTAGAAAAGGGGAGAGAAGTTCTGTAATGTCTGGARGGTTCACCTCACAGCTACAAGCAAAATGTTGACTTACGGGGTGAAAAATYTTCTAAATTGTTCTTTTGCAAAGATGTCCTCAGAAAGRAATGTTTGAGCCRCGTCTTGGCTGATGAATTGTCATACTRGCAGCAGGATTTCTTCACCTTTGGAAATGCGCTGAAAATGGTGAGAAAGCTGTGACCACTGGCTGTGACCACTCAACTGATAAAAACATGTCCCAGGCATTGTCTATACAGTCAGGTATGTTGGCATAAAATCATACATAGCCRGCAGTTATTAAATGGGAATCCTTTTAAGGTTTGAAAGATGTATTTTAGGGTGTAGTCTGTGTGAAATGTTCCTTGGTTAATAGAAATGTAGTGATTATTAGGTGCATGACTTAGGCTAATAATCATATCTTACAGTACAAGAACTTGCTGTGATGGTCCTAATGTTAAATCCAGGCAGACAGCTCCAGTTCCTGTACGTAAGARTGGAGATTGAATCTTGTTTATCATTACATCAGTCTGCAAAAAGGAGATTTATAAGAGCAGAATTGTTTGCGTGACATGGAGTGACTCCCATTGTATAGAAAAGAACAGTACTCCAAAATTTCTCTCCTCTCTCTTGCCCTTTTGATGACAGATAGTTGGCAGTGGATCAAAGCACAAACAGGATTAATGTTTTGCATGTTCTGTCCTACATGGCCTGAAAGGAGAAGAGATGGAATTTTTCATCTTTCACTTTAAACTGCATTTAATATCGTGGCCTAGTTTAGAGCTATGCGACTCATTCCTTCCATTTCCCCTGAGGCCTCTGTTTCTGGTCAAGGAAAGCAGGGCATGACTCCCTCTGGAGCTCATCAGTGCTGCTCAGCTTCCTCCTCCGTGCAGCCGGTGGAGGAGGCTGCTTTGAGGCTGGAGCAATCCAGCACCAGGAATCTCCAAGGAGCGTTTKTGGAAGCTGCCATCTCTTGCATCTGTCGCTGTGGTCACATCATGGGTGCTGCAGGGCACGGGGAACCCGGGGCTGGGGCAGCATCCAAGGGTTTTGCCACCATCTGTGCAAAGGCAGCTGTGAAAGCTGGAGTGGTGTCACAGGTCACACCTACAAATGGCTGGGTTCGCTATCCAAGGATGCTCTCCGAGCATGTTCCTTCACAAAGATGTCCTCAGRAAGGAATGTTTGAGCYGCGTCTTGGCTGATGAATTGTGGTACTGGCAGCAGGATTTCYTCGCCTTTGSAAATGCGCTGAAAATGGCGAGAAAGCRTGAAGGTGCTGGTTTTAGGGGTCGTGTCAGCGCTAGAGCCGCGTCCCAGTGGAGCCTTTTCCTCCCTGGAGCGGCACCTGAGCGGGCACATCCCTGTCCTGCCCTCCCCTCTAGCGGGAAGAAGCGCCATTGCAGCCGCTTGGGCTCCACTCACGGGGTTTTGGGGGATCTTTTGTGGCTGCAGGATTTTATAGTGACCAGAGCACAGCAGGAATGGCAGCAGGGACTTGGGGTGGGATGTGTGAAATACAGGAGCGTTGGCTATATCTTCTTTCACACCCTCTATCCACGTTCTCGTGGATGCGTTTGCAGAGGAGACAGTGGATCGGGTGAAGATGGTTCAGACACCTGAATCTGACCACTGTATAAATCCAGGAAAAAAAAAAAAGAGATCCAGGGAAGGAGTAGGCTGCAGGCTGGTCAGAGTTGCTGATGAGAAGAGGAGGAGGCTGCTGAAGATCAGTTTTGTTCCAGACATCATCCCAGCCACTGGCGATGGGTCTCTTGCTCAAATCACACTTGTCTACAGGTTCTGTTTTCATAGTCAGTTATACTCTGAGTAAATGTGCTCCTCACACAAACCTGCTACATTTTGTCTGATATCAAAGAGATGCAAGAGCTTCAGCAGAGACAGATGGTGATTAATTGGGCCATGTCTGGCCTCCTCCACACTGAGCTCTTGAGGRTTGAATTTTGAGGGGAGCTAAGATAATGATCTATATATTTCAGGATCTTCTACTGTCATTTGTGGGACTTCTGGCTATGGCACACCAGGCTTGCCAATTGCTGTGACAAGGATTTTTCTTGGCAGGTATAAAAGGCCATTCATTATAATTGAAAATATTTGCATAGCTTGAGTTCCTGTGCAGTGCAAAAGAGACTTCAAGTGCTCTTTCAGTTGTTTTGTCTTACTGTGGAGTTTGAGAAACTTGTTCTCTAGCTTTTTATTAAAAAACCCCATCACGTCTGTAGCAATCCTGCACATAATGAAACTTTTTCCCCTCCCATCTGAGCTCGTCCTCCTGCTTCCCCAAGTCACCTTCTTGTAAACCCACAGGGAACTCAAGTGGAGCTTTTGCTCTGGCAGRATTGCCTGCACTTTCCAGTGCTGGGGTGAGAAATGAAAATACACTCTCCTGGGAAATGCTAGTAATTAGGATTACAAATCTTCAAGGACTTGGCTCCCTGGTCTTAAAAAGTTGCTGCTGCTCCCATGGCTGCTCTTCATCTGCACCTTCTGAATGATTCAACAGCTCCTTTGCTGTTGACTGTGGAGTTCATTGGTGTTTTCATCTTGAAAGGGTCAGGAATGTTGCCTCCCTTATCAAGTTGCTGAGCCAATTCTCAGGTRTGATGAGTAGATGGTATTCCTGCCAGCTCTTGTTTGTTGTACATGGTCCACAGGTTTTAGCTTGAATTTGTGGTTGCAGGTGGCTCCAGATGAATGACTTTGTGGTGCARTGGTGCTCTAATTCTTCTTAGAAATAGAAGACCAGTAGCAAGCAGCATTTTCTAGTTATTCCCATATTCAGATCACTGAAATAAGAGAGAAGCACAATATCCAGCAGGAGCGCCTGCATTTGACTYTGATTAAAAAGTGAGCTAAATTGGACCTTTGCACGCAGTAAGCACAAAGAATGTAGTYTAAAAGAGTTCAGAAGAGCTCTTTTGAGTCTCCCCTGAAATTGTTTGTGGGAGAACATCACTGGAGCCTATAGCAGATGAGTCTGGGCCAGGGGCAGTGATGGGAAGGAAAGCACTGTCACTGTGTCACTGCACATCCAGCATGAGAAACACTCATGAGTGTTTCACTGCACATCCAGCATGAGAAACACTCATGAGCTCATCCTCATGAGAAACACTCTCAGTGGCACAAGTCTCTTGCAACCATCTTGCTGGTTATGGCTTGAAAAACTCACCACTCAGAAAGGGGACCTGCAGGAGGGAAGCCCAGAGCAGCCAGGAACAAAATTATCTTTTTTTCTTCCTCTGTCTGAAATCTGGTTTTCCTGGGATGCCCCTGCCCTGACAAAACCCTTGATATGTTTTAAAATGCTTTTTCTCTGCAGACCTCCATGAACATAGCACATTCTGACTAATAAAATAGATCCTGTACTCCATCTCCAGTGCCTGGCAGGGCGTATGTAAATGTAGTGTGAAGCAGAATTAATTGCTGAGATCTCTCTGCTGAGGTATTGCTTTGGGCTGTAGTAGGTAGGCCTAGTAAAATTCCACAGCACATTAGAAATTGTGCATATTAATATCTCATCTARAGCAGCATAATATATAAATTTTCTCCTTTCTAGTCCTATCTGTACTCACCTAGTCCTATTTGTCAGATTTACTGCATGATGGTTTTGTGGATTTTTACACTTGATTGCTGACACTGGACTATGAATTAATATGATCTCCACAAAGGTAATAAAAACCCAGAGATTTTTGCCCAGAAGTGAACTATGTGTTTGGCTCCTGGCCTGCCTTGTTTGGCAGGGGTCACTGGAAGTCCGTGCAAAAGCATGCAAAATCCTGCAGGGGCAAAAATTCCTGTAACGCTGAGTTTTTAAAAGGCTTTTGAGAGAACRTGAAGTGACAGCTGAACAGAAAGTGAGTTCCTCTCTAGTGACAGCTGCATGCAGGAGCAGGGAGAGCTCCCCTTGCCTTACACAATCAAAGCAGTGAAATGCAAGCCTTTGCTTTCTGCATAGAGTAAAACATATTAATGTTTTTCTCCTTTTTTTGTGTATGCAGGAGGCAGACAGCGGGGAAGAAGAATGCCGGTCCCAGCCCAGAAGGTAAGATTGTCACTCGGGGCTCACAGGAATCCTCGAGGATGCTTTCCTRTGTGGAATTTTTTTGCTTTTGTTGTTCCTCTGGCATGGCCTGCAAACACACATCACTTTCTGCCTGTTGTTGAATGACTGTCTTATGTGAGCTTTACTGAAAAATGGGTTTAACTGTGGCGTAAATGATGCTCCCACTGAAAGGGTTGCTGCAGCAGGAAATGGGAAAAGTCTGATTGCCCACTAAAAAATATAAATGGGGAACAGTTGGCAAAGATGTCAGTGAATATATTCTCCAAACTGCTGCTGYTTCTGTAGCTCCCTCCAGTGTCCTGTGTTGCTTCTCAGGATTTAGTCCACTATCAGACTATTCTGTGAGGCATGACCAGACTGATAAACTCTTTTTCTCTGGTTCAAAAGTCCCTGTTGCCATCAAGGGTGATCCTGATCCATACAGTCACCTGCTGCTTAAATGACACGATCAGTGGGTGTGTGGATATTTGCTGCTGATGCAGGTAGTGGAACTTATGCTCCAGAATTAGGAGAACACTTGAGAATTCACAAGGATTTTTTTGTTTAATTTGGATTGTTTTGCAGGGAGGTGCCTCTTGTAAATGCTGATTTCAGTTGCTCCAGGAAGAACCTTTTTTGGTAAATGTTATTTGCTAAAAARCATTGCAACTCAGCTGATTGAACACTGACAAGTATTAATGGTTATTTTTATAATGCAGGTATATAGGGTAAGACTTCTTGGAGTCTTGTGAGCTTTGTCTCCTTTCCTCTAAGCCATCAAAAGAATTATTTTAGTTGAACTTAATAAAAGCAAAAATTGTATCTGTTGGGCGACTTGTCCAATGGCAGGGGCACTCTCTTGGCTTAAAATGTTGCAGTCAGATTTTGTGAAAGGCTTAAGATTTCCTCCAGAGGGAGTAAAGGGGAAGTGAAGGTGAAATGGTTCTCCCTTTATGAGCTCTCTGACTGTTGTTTGTGTGAGTAGGTAGCAACAGAAGCCATAATACCTAGTATTTAATATACTTGAACAAGATCTGGGCTTTGTGTTTTGGGGCCAACTTGGATGAATCTGCAAAAGAAAAWRCTGTCCTGGTTGCACATTCCCATGATTTCACTGTAGTTCTGTGATTCTGTGGCTCAGGGAATGTAACTGCCCTGTTTACTTCAGTCTTCTAGTCCAAAATGATGATTCAAGAATTGCTATTTCTTCATTTTACAGCTTTCATGAGTGAGAGGAAAGCTGGAAAGCACAATTCCCGAAGGCTCRAATTGAACTCAGCTAAACTCCGATTTTTCATTTCACTCTTGGCCTTCCAGCAGTCACAAGATCAACTCATGACTTGATCTCAGTATACATAATGTATTGGAAGGGATGGGAGGTATTTAATTGTTGTGGGCACTTAGCAACCATTGTAGGTTAGGTCTGAAACGAGCATTTTTTTAATATGTTTGAAATAACTTCCTGGGGTAGGAAATGACAACCTGCTGTTGATGTGGTGATCTGAGCTCCGTGACTCCTGTTACTGGGGTCAGAATGCTAACTAAAGCCAAGCTCCTTCTGGGGGAAGACAAGGGGGKGGATGTTAAATGTGTTCGATTACAGTAGGATAAAAACAATAGAGTCAAATGGGGTAAATACTGAACCTGGAATCCTGCTGTGGAGGAGCAGCAGATGTCCATAAACAGCTCCTGAGTATATCTAATCCTTAGTTTTCATGGGAACATAGCAAGTAGCAGCTATTAAAAATCCGGACAGTAAAAAGGCAATGGAGTGAGTTTGGCTTAAAAGGAAACGTGTGTTTCCAGCTGCAGTGCCACTCTGCAGCAGCCTGACATTCCTCACTGCCTGCCTGGGCAGGGCCCAGTTCTCCTGAGGCTTCATTYAGGTGACCTGGCTGCAGCTACAGTCAGTGGTCAGTGTTTGGGCTGGGATTTTTTTTCTGTTTGTAAAATTCTTCTGATGAGGAGACCTTTTGTCTCCTGCGGTCACGGAAAATGTTCACRTGCTACCTCAGCGTGTCAGGCATCAGGCATGTCCAAACTCATCCTGTTAACTGGACACTGAAGCCAGGAATACTCCTGTGGTAGGACTAAAAGTACATTTGCAGTAATAAAATAACTTTTCAAAGGTTATTAAATAGGATCTTAGTGCACAAAGGTGTTAATGCTTGCAAGGGAGTTAGTGAAGACCCTAAGCATAAGCACATGGACTYGTTTGGTGTCAGAAGATTTTTGCAGTTGACAGTCATTGGGTACAGTGTTCATTTCCATTCCTGTGTCTCCATGTCCCTGCACAGCCTCGGGAYTGCTGTCTCAGAAGAAATGTTACACTCAGATCCAGCTCAACAGCACTGCTAATCCTGTGGTTAGCAAAATCTAGATAGCTGCTTGTGTTAGGTTTCTGCTGTTTATCTTCCCTTCCTGATGAGGTGTGGGATATATACTGAGGTGAAGTGGAACACGCAGGAAAGCCTGGAAGCAGCACAGCAGGAGTGACAGTATTTGTTAAGCAGAGACTACGAAAAGCAGCAGTCTAAAACATCCTCCAAAGAGGCAGAGAAATAAGTTCCAAACAGAAGCTTAAACTTGTAGGTGATTGCATCAAGATCATCATACTTCAACAAAATGATGTTTGCTGACCTGTGCTTTTTAAAATCTCACACCAGAGAATCCTGTGATTGCCTGACCTGGGTCTCACAGACAAGGGAGAACTGTGTGAAAATGTTGTTTAAACTTAAACCTGCTCTACAGAGCAGTCAAATGAYCTGACAAGTCTGCACTCGCCAGGACCATCATAGAGTGAGGAGCTTTCTGCTTTGGGAATTAGCAGAATCTGTTTAAAGCTTTTCTCCAAAAGATGGGAAGAGCTATCAGGGTGCAGAAAGAGAGTTCCTGTGTGCTCTGCAATCATCCTTGGAAGGTRCTTGAAATGGCATTTCCTGTCTAACTCTATTGTGTTGATGCAAAGAGAAATGGTTTGTTTTCCTACTGAGGAAAGTACTTGGGCACAGTGAACACAGACCTAATTTCTATAAACATTTCTATCCTTTATTAAAATCCCCAGGAAGTTAATTCTGTGAATACCTGAAACTGAACAAGTAGATGAAACCAGCTTGGCTTCTGGAATAYTTTTTCTCACACCCAAGCCCTGCTGTGGGGGAAGCCCAAGGGGGTCTCTGTTTCCAGCTGTAGCTGTGACCATCCATGCAGTTTGTGGGAGAGATCCCCAAAGCCCTGACACAGATCCAGGTTCTTGCTCTGGAGTCCCTGATCAMACCAGTCCTTGTCACTCTTGGCTAATGGGACCAAGACAGTGCTGCATAAGCAGATGTCGTGAACAATCTATTTATTACATTTATTACCTTCATAGCTGTGTTCTGACATTTTTATTASGCTGTCTGGAGGCCGTGGAGCTAACTGTCCTGCACATCTCTCCTGTCCCCAGACATGCTGCTGCCATGCTGAATACACTCTTAATGGAGCATCTGTGTTAACGAGCTCTTTGCATCATCCCGAGGTTGATAAAATTTACCTAAAAYGCACATGTATTGAGCTGTGAGTTGTGTTTACACCCGCTGAGGTATTGACATTCAGGTTTTGTGTGCTCTGTGCCAAGGTTGCAAGGATTCAGCATCTTTGTTTTGCTGACGAACGGCATCTCCCGGGCCCAGGGCAGCAGCGGTGCTGCAGCTGCGTTGGATTTGCTGTCAGGATCTGCCACTTGCTTTTTGGATTTTATGGTTTAAATGGTGCCTCTGTTTCCACACTATTATGATTTTACCACTTCTGTGTGCCTTGAAACTGCTCTGGTTGCTGAAATGCAGCATTTGAGGCTGCCCAGTAACTGCTGCATATAAAATTGGGTGAGCTGTATTGCYTAGTGAGGCTGCTGGGGACTTCAGATGGATTCTTTGAACTTTTATGGCCTGGCAGCGTGTAAGACTAAAGTCCATTTGCTCAGGTAAAGCTGAGGAGCCRGTCCTCCCGTCAGTTGCCACAGAAGTGATTACATCCTGCTTGAAYTCTGGGGCTTGTTACCCAAAAGGGTTCTGACAAAGTGCTTGTCCTCCTCTCTTCAAGTGGGGGCAAGAGCGTGGTGTTAAATTATAATTTTAAAAAAACCAAAACCCACACCTTTTGCAGCACAAATATGGTTGCCTTCTGGTTTGATTTTTTTTTTTAGTCAAAATAGTTCCTTCCAGGAGTGAACTGGGAAGGAAAGCAAATCAGATTATTGCCATGATAACAGTTGGATGTGCCAAGATGCCTCAAGGTCTGAAGCTGTGAGTAAAAACCTTTGTTTTAGGAGCGGAAGACCACAGTCTGATGCAGGAGCTGATGGTTTATAACAGTATAAAAGTTGTTTCTCAAACAGTAAGTGGAATAAGTGCATGTTCTTCCTTCCACAGAGCAGCGGCTCAATAAACTGTCGGCCAACCTGTTGGATTTTTAAACTGAGACCCCCCTTGTGAGATATGTGTTAATCCCTGTGAGAAACAGGGGGTGACTGTGATACTGAATTGACTGCACTTCCAAAGGCTCATTCGCACTCCACACGGAGATGTGTGGATYTGCAGCATCCTGTGGCTGCTGTGACTTTTGGATTTACCTTTGGAGATGTGGATCATCACCATTTGGTGCTCCTGGGGCAGGCTCCTGGCACTCCTGCTTATCCCTATAGCCTACCTGATGTTACAAGAGACAGCTCCAAAAGCCGTGCGCTGAGAGTTCTGGCAACTAAATCTTCCTTGTGCTGCCCTTACTTGCTGCTGCAGCTGCCAGATGTTTACTCTGTTGGTACTTGAACAGTAGCTGGGTCTTTAATGGGTGTGCAAGACAGTTTGTTAACTCCAGATCTTGAGTAAGAAGGGACTGTGTGTGTGGTGTACAGGAAAACGTGTGTTTATCCATGCCGGAGATTACTAAGCTCTTGTAGTATGAACCTTATCTCTAGAATGTGTTTCCTGAATTCATCTTTCTGTCTTTCCTTTCAGTGACAG